AACACACTTGTACAACAATACACCCATGCCTTGTGTCAATGGATAATTTGTTAAAGAATCACACACTGCTGAAAAATTCATGCACTCGAGTGATATATTTATCCCAGGCCAGATGGGAAGTGGATAAGCAGTACCATTCCTGGACCAACTGCAGCTTGGAATGACAGAAACCAGCGCTGAGCAGTAAGGATGGTACATTTAGTGACACTGGGCCTCATTTATCAATCTCGTAGCAAAGTTGTGTGTCAACGTTTTTGTGGCCAAAGCAAAATAAAAATTACCGACTGATTTACAACCTTCGTTTACTCTTGTGTGGATGGTGATAAAAACGCCAATTAGCCAAAAGTTACATAGCTGATTTACACATAGCCACGCCCACAAGCATCATAAACAGCAAAACTCAGGAAAACTAAGGCTACGTTTACACGACAACAATGTAGTCAAAAACCGAAAAGTTTTTCTTGCGTTTTCAAAAAGTTTCACATATACACAACAACGTTTTCAAAATGATTCACGGTTACACGTATCCGCGATAACAGCCAAAAATGCTGTATTACGTATGCGTTTGCCTTTACAGTAGACACGTACTGCGCATGTCTACATGCCTAACACGTACTACGCACGCGCATGACGTCACCGTTTTCAAAGATTCCCGTATTGGGTGTTTACACGCAGACGATAACGGCGGCGTTTTCAAAAACTTGCACTTTGAAAGCCGTTTTCAAAAATGTGCGTTTTCAGTCCCCAAAACGCTGTTGTCGTGTAAACGAACAGGCAAAACGCATAAGAAGTTTCTCGTTTTTGGCTGAAAACGTCGTGTAAACGGCCCCTAAGCAGTGAAAGAGCACCTCCTTGCTCATGGCATGTGCTAAATGTTACAGTGATGCATCTCAGCCATGGCAACTACCACAGACACAGTTTATAACCTCCTTTTATATCAGTACCATGGAAACAAAACTCAAAAATTCTTGACCAGGAAAAAGCGCTTACTGAAGATGAATAAAATAATAAATTTATTTATTCATAAAAAAGGCAGAGATTAAACAAATACCCAAATCAGAAACCACTCAGCAGTGCCACAAATGCTGCCCTGTAAAGTGCCAGAGCCACATGAAGCACCACACACTCTGACTCCGAGCTGCTTTGAAGCTGCCTGGACTGTGGACAACAGCGACACGGATCAGCGTGTCAAAGAAGCCAAGCTCCAGAGTAGAACAATCCCTTCACACCAGCAGTGACAACAGAAACAGGGCACATAGAACCATCACAGAGCAAAGGGAACATACACAGCGAAAACAATCAGACCCCCCATGGCTAGAGCCTGGAAGATGAAAGCCAGCTGGATTAGTGAAAACAAATCTGCTGTATATCTGTTTCTATGGTAACAGCTCATTCACAGTGACACGGACGGCAGATACTCCACGTAAATGGATCTAAAAATGTGTGCAGTCTTTCAAATGGTGAAGTTTTCTGTAAGGAGAGGTTTGTGTAACATTTAGGGAAGGAGTCTCCAGTGTCAGTACGTTTTCCGACATCTTCAGGACAGAGGAGTTTACGATTGGTGGTTTCTTGGTAACATGAGAAGCTGAGTTTTTTATTTTTGTCTTATTAACTTTGAGAGAAATAAAGAGAAATAAAGAGAGGCTGGTGAGGGTTACGACTATTTACAGCTGCAATAACATAAGTGAGAACAGGAACTAAGAACGTTGTTTCACGAACATTAATTGTAACTATGAACAGATTTTTAAAAAAGTATGATGTCATGCTTTAATAAATTAAAATTTGTAATTGTTGGTATGTTGCTGTGGTGCAAGGGGAATAAAAAATTTGTAGATGTGCTGTTATATAGGAATCTACTTTGGCACTGTGGTACCAGTAGCTCCCCTCATTGGTTATTTTCCTATGGCTGCACCATACACAGTGTTTTATTCCTTACCTATAGCACAGATTTTATTATGTGAGGACTGAGAGGGAATGATTTCCAGTGGATCATCTAAATCCCTCTCCATGTCGTAGTGACAGTCATGCGAAAGGAGAGTGGATATCCCTCTAAAACACACACATACACACAGAAAATTACTCTCTCTACTACACCAAGGATGCTGCCATTGCTGTCCTCAGGGCAAAATTTACTTTGAGCTTTGATGTAAAGTCAACTCTGATCCATCAACCAAAATCAATGCAATTAATCCCTGGATATTTAAGAAGAGCAGCTTCTTGTTCCACGGCATAACTATACCGCTCCATAGATCTCCTCACTGTCCTACTGCAATCTCTCTCGGTGCTCATAGACCAGTTGTACAAATCACGCATGCTGAAACCAGTGATCCTTTGGGATTTCCCACCTGGCTTTTCCGACTATTCAATCTGTTCAGAATTCCCAAAGACACTGCTTACAATTTGTTTATAGACTTGGTGGAAGACATTGTGCCCTCCCTTGGTGTTACAGCTCTTGATTGATGGTGCTAATGTGGACCACGAGTTCTCCAACAGAATGGATCTACGAGGCCATGGTTGCTCATCTCCAACGAGAACAGGCATGCCTCCAGAATGCCAGCCAGATGTAGTTCTTTGATTTTGTAGTTCTTTGGATCCTTCAAGGATCTCAGCTGGATAAAACACTTTATCTTGTTTAGGATCATGATGGATCTGAAGTCTATATGCTGGGAACACTGGGGCATACACCCAGTCAATCTCAGGGCATCATTCACACCTTTTAAATACTATTTGGTAAAGATAAGAAAGAAAGATATTTACTAAGTTACGATTTTAATATGAGAATGTGCGTAAATCCAGGATTATTATACTAATCTATACAGCTGGTGTTTTTTTTCAGAAACTATATGTAATCAAGAGGCTAACTGGAGATTGTTTTTTTTAGTTTCACCCTGATTCATTGTAGAGTTGTATCTTTAAGATACAATAAATACTGGAATTTGAACTTGCTGTCAATCTTCATAAAAATATTAGGCATGGAGGAAGGAAGGTACATCTGCAGACAGGGTTTCCAAGTAGAACCCCTTTAGAAAATAAAGAGCCCTTAATTATTCGAGGAAACTCTTGAGGATCTGTTTTGATATGAAAATCAGCTGGAGGTGAGGCTTTCATAAAAGGAGGCACAGAGGCACTTAAATGAAATCTTACAACACGTAGGACTGGCAGGCTGTGTGTGTGTGTGTGTGTGTGTGTGTGTGTGTGTGTGTGTGTGTGTGTGTGTGTGTGCACAACAACATCTATAGAACATACACACACGACATGCTTAATGAAAGAGCCGGTCTAAATGAAAAGGTCACGTCTGATGTATGTAAATGTGTGGGCGAGAGGCAGCACTTTTATACGGCGTGTACATGAAGGCGATACAAAGACATCTGCTGGGAATAAATTACAAAACTCGGAGCACTTACTCAAGGACTTTCTGTTATTTTCTGCATAGATGTATGGGATCAAGGATGACAGGAAACATGCTGTAAGGAAAAGCTGTTCTTCAATAAATAAAAAAATCCTAATCGTTGGAAACACTGCTAAAGTATAGGAGAATTAAAATACTTTAGGACATAAAATACTTTACAGGAAAATAATAAGTGATGAAGTGTCAAAGCTACTCTTACCACTCCCAAGTTTATTATTTTCCTATGTTGGAAAAAGCTACAGCTTTACCTCCCTGTGAATGAGCTGCCACCATAGAAACGATAAAACATCACAACATTAATATGCTGTATGTTAATGTAGGAAATGAATCAACCAATCAGCAGCCAGATTTCGCCCCCACACTGTGCTAGAATAATTCAATAATCCATAATGCAGATTTAGTTCTGTCTCATAATGTCAGTATTCCCCTACATTCTCACTAGCTCACACCGCTACTGCATTAGCATCTTCCTGAGTGTCTGAAGATGTCTCTGCTCATTACTTCTTCTCTCTTTTTACTTTTTACTTCTTTCCGTCTATTTTCTCATTAATATTTTGTCGCGCAAGTTCAAAGCCTGCCAAGAACAATCCTCGGTGATCTTTTATTACCCATTCAAATGGAATTCCTAAAACATAAAGAAAAACGAATAACCCTGGATCTGATTTGACTAATTAGCAATTGTTCTCCTGTTCGATTTGCATGTCTGTATAATTATTATAAAAGAGCGCACGCTGTTGGCGTCCAATAATAGTCTTATCTAAACAGCCCACACATGCAGACACAGTCTTTCTTTCAATGCCACCGCAGTCTTCAAAGCTTTGCGAAGAAACCCAGCCTTCTTCTTCTTATTGTTATTATTATTATTATATTCTTTACTGGATTGCACACAACAGAACATGTAAAACATACACATTTTCATTATCGGTAATTAGCGCCGAAAACCACGAGAGCCCCTCATATTTAATTTGCATCACCAAAACACTTTTGCATGAATTAAATCCTTTAGCAGGTGTGGCACTCTGGTAGCAAATGGAAATGAAATGCACCTCACGTTCAGTCTGGCGCACTGAAGAAAAACAACAGGACAAGGATAGCTCGAGACTCAGGAAGCGTTTCACCCTTTGAGGCGCTCGCTCCAGCCGATACAGCTAGCCTACATGACTTACAGGGTCGATTAGCAAAATCTAATCACTAGCGTTATGTAAACTGCATTACGGATGCTATTACTCCAGCAAACAACGTTTTGTGTATGAATTGTGTTCTGATTAGCAGCAACGTTAAATCACGCTAACCTATAACGAACAAACTTCACACTTTTGATCAATTTCTCTTAAGGTCGTTCAGTTTTCATTGGAAGACGTTTGAGTGTGTCATTTAACTGAAATGAGCTCCGGGTCCTGGGAAGTCGTTACGAAATACTGAGGCCATGACCAAGAAAATAATAATGCTAAATTTGTACGCTTTAATCTTTCCTAAAGCAATAAAGCCAACAAAAAAAACAGGAATTCTTTTTCACCTTTCATATTTGTGATTTGTTGCCATTTTGTGAGAGCATTTTTTTGAATATTTAGAATTAAATATAGTGGGGGCAGTCGGGGCCTAATGGTTAAAGTGTCAGACCTGTAACCCGAAGGTGAGCCTGAAGGTTGTGGGTTCGAGTCTCAGGTCCGGCAGGGATTGTAGGTGGGGGGAGTGAATGTCCTCTTCCATCCTCAATACCACGACTGAGGTGAGACCCTTGAGCAAGGCACCGAACCCCCAACTGGTCCCCGGGCGCCGCAGCAAAAAAAAGGCTGCCCACTGCTCCGGGTGTGTGTGTGTGTGTGTGTTCACAGTGTGTGCGCACTTGGATGGGTTAAATGCAGAGCACAAATTCCATACTTGGCCACACATCACTTCACTTCACTTCCACTTAAAGTCAAGCTTCAGAAACTCAAATCAGAAGGACAACTTTAAAAGTTCTAAAGGTTCTAGGCATGTCACAGGAGAACGGTTCTGATAATCTAGATGAGATAAGGTCTGAAGATGCTTTCAGTCATTTTTCACGAACATTCAATAACATTTGTTGCAGCTCAGAATCTTAGTGGGCGGAGCTAAATGGCAAAATTATATATGTTTGGCGCAAGTTACAGAGTCTGGGGAATTGTTTTTGGTGCGTCGGACTGACAGTTCATGCAAAACAACTGCTCTATAGCGCCACCATGACGCCAACATTGCTAATCTTACTCGACTGAGTTTCATGTATCAATGATTGAAAGAATAATAACAAGAAAAATCCTAACAAAATTATTCCTGTCCACAATACAAAGTGCTTGGACCCCTAATTAAGCACATTAGCTTAGTGATATTAGCTAAACTAGCCAGCTGCTTAAAGCTGCACTGTGCTAACATTAGCCTGCTATTGTAGCTACCTGAGATAATGAAGCTTTACCTCTGACTGTTACAAAGCGCTGACACTGGAGACTCCTTCCATCAATTTTAAACAAACATCTCCTTACCCTGCTGACAACTTTACCAAATCTGTTTATTATTAGTGGCGCGTCATCGATATAAGTCCCTTTGAATGAGTTGTTAGTACAGAAACGATAATGATAATGTTATAGAAAGTGAATCAACCAATCAGAATCTAGAATTCAACAGTGCTGTGGTGTAAACAGGAAATAAGCATCACAGCAGTCCGACTGGAATCACACTGGAATCAGTGTGACTGGAAAATGTATTAACTCCAGGAGGTGAATGAATATATAAATAAATAAAATCCTCTGATCATAGACCCACAGCACTAAATAACCTAGCAAATTATACAGTAAATATTTTTCGTTTTTTTTTTTTAGAAAAGGCGTTTTTTTTATCCGGTACGTTTAACCTAAAGCACGCCGCCTCGTTCTGAAATTTCCTGCTGCGACCTCGTGAAGCTGATTGTACGATGCGAGTTCTTGTGATTCCTTTAATTCCCATGCAAATTAGCCGTAGCTCTTTCCGTTTTGAAGTAGCATGCGGCTATATTTTTGGCGGCGTTATTGAAAGTAATGAGGCCACTGGGAGCTGCAGTGCTGCTATGTGAGGTCTCGTCTTTCTGTGAGCATGAATAATTTAGCCATTTCAATTACGCCGTGTTGATAGGGCGTGCCGTCAAAGCATCCAGACTGCGAGCCTGAACACAGCACTCCTGGAGAAACGCCCTAAATTATTTACACATACATTACCACAGAGAAAATCTGAAAAAGGGGAGAATATATGTACAGTGGGAAAGCACTTCTCAGATCCCGGCGCACACCTGTTTGTGTTGGCTAACACGATTCGCTCCGGAGCCAAAGCAGCCTCTAAGTGCACATGTAAAGCGTTGAGCTTTTGTAGTGGAGGAATAATAGCGGCGTGCGCTAGAGCTCAGGTGTTCCCACTAACATGATAAAAACATCAGCACTGCTGTTATGGAACAATGCACGAGATTTGAATCTGTAATTGCTGTCAGTGGTTCGGCAAGGTTTTTTTTTTTTTTTTTTGGGAAAAGCAAATATCTCAAACCACAGATTTGTGCATTTGTGCATGAACGCTAATTAACTCAGCTTTCCTGCTGTTTCAACCCGACACAAGCACGCCCAAGGGACCAGGGGCAACAAGGGGACAGTTTTCTCCAAGGTTAAGGAGATTATTTAACATTTATGGAAGGAGTCTCCAGTGTCAGTGCTTTGTAACAATCTGAGATAAAGCTGTAACTTTAAATTTAGTTAAGAAGAGTTTACGCTTTTTGTGGTTTTTTTTTTTGTTGTTTTTTTTTTTTCTTCAGTAGAGAGAAAATATAGATGAGTCACCACAGTGTGATTTATTTTCATTTTTAAAGTTTTATATCTAGCAGTGTGGGGTAGAATTACATAAAAGAATATTTAATTAACACTTTTGTGACCTCCCACATGGCAGTGTTTATTGCTCTCAGCCTGAGCACCACATGCCTTTATAGCAGTAAGGAGACCGAGCGAGACATAATATTACACAAGTATCGAATATTAAATATAGAATAGCTCCATGTAATCCTCTCTTACATTTGTGTGTGTGTGTGTGTGTGTGTGTGTATGAATAGATGGAGAGGTTAATAATCAGAACCATGCACTTTCTGCCACTGCTAATAATAATATGTCCGGATGGCAGCACTGTTAGCAAAACTTTAGCTAAACATTGTGATACGCAGTGTATCGCGTTTTAAAATCCCTTACACCAGAGCGCCTTGACTTCTGGATTCTGATTGGTCAGAAGTTTAATTAATTCTCTATAACAGCAGATCTGAGAGTAGTGCATCTGCACATCACAGCACATATTAATGTGCTAGTTTTGATTTATTCATTACATCTAAAGCTCATTACCAATTATTACATATAGGAGAAAATTAAGGGGTCCAAGCACCATGTGACGAACTGGTTGCAATGTAGAAGTTAAAGAAAAACTCCCCCCGCCCCCTTCCCTGGTCACATGGTAAGAGGTGACATTTTAGTAAACCCTCGTGATGTCAATCTTGATGCATGGAAATTCAATTCAATTCGATTTTATTTGAATAGCGCTTTTCACAATGGACAATGTCACAAAGCAGCTTTACAGAAGGAAATACGTTCAAATTAAATTAAATCAAAATAAATTGAATTTTTCCCTAAAGTGGGTTTGCACACAATAACCTTATTTAACCTTTAACCTTTATTTGATCATCCATAATGGTAATGTAATGGTAATAGTAATCTGGCTCAAAGAATAATGGCAGTGTTGGTTTTAGAGCACTTCCTGGTTTAGCGTTTTGTTAGAGCACTTCCTGGGTTAGCGTTTTATTAGGGCACTTCCTGGGTTAGCGTTTTATTAGAGCACTTCCTGGGTTAGCGTTTTCTTAGAGCACTTCCTGGGTTAGCGTTTTATTAGAGCACTTCCTGGGTTAGCGTTTTATTAGAGCACTTCCTGGTTTAGCGTTTTATTAACGCACTTCCTGATTTAGCGTTTTATTAGAGCACTTTCTGGTTTAGCCTTTTATTAGAGCACTTCCTGGTTTAGCCTTTTATTAGAGCACTTCCTGGTTTAGCCTTTTATTAGAGCACTTCCTGGTTTTGTGTTTTGTGTAGAAAACTTTCTGGATTGGTGATTTAGTGAACTTGCTGCTTTAGCATTTTAACGCACTTCCTGGTTTAGCATTTGAGTTCATTTGTTGCTTAAACTTTTCTGGTTTAGTGGTTTAAAACACTTCCTGTTGTGTGGTGAGTAAATACGATGATGATCGCTCACGTTTGCTCTTAGGTATTTGAAAAATAATTTTTAAAAAAGGCCTGTCTTTAAAAATGTCCTGAAGTCTGGTTTTTGAGATGATGTTTAAATTAAAACTCTGTATCTAATTTAAGCACATTTGAGGAAGAACGATATTTCACCTTAATTAATAACTGACTGACTTTTATCTCCATAGAAATGAAATTGGAACCACATGTGTATGTGTATGAGTGTTCCGTGGTGTGTGTGTGTGTGTGTGTGTGTGTGCAGCTACATGCTGTGTGGCTGCTGGAGTGTATGAGGATCAGCGGAGGTTAATGAAAAGCTCCGCCGCATTGTGTGATGATGAGAAGATTGAGAGAACGAGCCAGCAAGACGCTCATCAGCTCTGGCAGGTGTTGCACGGTGTGAATCCAGATTGTATGATTGCGTGTGTGATTGCGTGTGTTATGTTTGTGTGTGTGTGTGTGTGTGTGTGTGTGTGTGTGTGTGTGTGTGTGTGTGTGAGAGAGAGAGAGAGCACATATGTAAGCTCACAAGAGCACGTGCTTGTCCAAGATGTAAGAACGTGTGTGTATGCAACGAGACATCCTCAGAGCACTCTAGACTTTGTCTACTCTAATTTAAAAAAAAAAAAAAAAAAACACAAATATTGGCACCTCATATAAGTTCATGTTCCTTGTGTCATTTCTCATCCTGTTGAATAGCCGACATGCAAATGTATGAATTTTACATTTGTTTTACATTTGTATGATGCATCAATACTATTTTTTTCCACACTGAATAAAAGTTTTTTTAGTATCCACACATTCCAAATATACAAACCTTTATCGCTACGATAAACGGCTAACGTTACACGGTAAGCCGTGTCTGAAGTGTAACATGACCCGGCGTCTAGACAATGCTCTGTATGATCGATTCATGTGTTTCTCTTCATGTTTCATATTTCTGCAAATATGAAGACAAAAACAAAAATGCTCTCCAGCAGCAAAGATCACAGACTGAGCCTATGATCTATATGAAATTACTGACTGTACATAGCATAGCATAGCATAGCATAGCATGCATGCTAAAGGACATGAACTCGCGCTCTGGAAATAATAGCTTCATAAAGAAGAAAGATAGACGAGGATGTATAATGCGAGTCCGAGTATTGTAATGCATTTTGCATGCACGGGAATATAAAGCCTACTCTCTGAGGGCGTAGATCAAGAGCTGAGATTGTACAGCACAATATCAGACCGTGTGTGTGTGTGTGTGCTTGAGTGTTATTGGATATTCTACATGAACATGAAATAGAGATTTATGAATTTCTCTCGTTTCTTATCTCTCACCCTTTCATCGCACAATATCAAAAGGCAGAAACTCTAAGACCCTAGCAGTGTGATTGCACTGATATTTAAGCACTTTAAGGAATTTCTTTCATATACAATTTTTT